GGGTAATTATTGATGTATGAGGATTTCCTATAGCCATTCTATCTTTTGTTTCCTGGTAGCTGTGTGTCTCCATTGGTTCTTTTCCTTTATACTTTTGTCTCTTGTTTTTGTTTGATGGTGTTTCATACTTCTTTCCTCTGTGTCCACCTTTTTTAAGCTATGTGTCCTGGTTTGGGGATTTTTGTATGTGGTTACCATTAGGTTTATGAAAAATAAAGTTGCATATTTACAGTAGTTGTTTTTCTTTTTTGAGTGCATCTGATTTTCATCCTCCTTTGCCAGTTCAGACCTTTACTCCTTCCCCTTTTTATGTTTTTGTTGTCACAAATTATCCCTCTTTATGCCGTAAGTTTTTTGGTGATCTTACTTGTAGTGTTGTTACTTTATGTTTTTTGTTTCAGGTAGAATATCTCCCTTGAGTATTTCCTGCAGTGGAGGTTTTCTGGTGATAAAATCTCTCAGTTTCTGTATGTCTGGGACCGTCTTTATTTCTCCTTCATATGTAAAGGATAATTTTGCTCGATATGTTATTCGTGGCTGGTAATTTCTCTCTTTCAGACGTTTCAATGTTTGGTTCCACTCCCTTGCTTATAGAGTTTCTGCTGAAAAGTCAGATGAAATTCTGATGGGTTTTCCTTTGTAGATCACTTCTTTCTTTTACCTGGCTGCTTTGAGAATTTTTTCTTTGTCATTAATTTTTGACAGTTTTAATATAACCTGCCATGGAGAAGGCCTCTTTGGATTGAGGTAAGTAGGTGTTCTGTTTGCTTCGTGGGTTATAGAATCTTCTTTCCATAGGTTTGGGAAGTTCTCATCCACTATTTGTTTGAATAGACTCTCAGTTCTCTCCTCCCTCTCTTCTTATTCCAGAATGCCTATTATTGTAATATTGCTTTTTCTGATGCAGTCAGATATTTCTCATAGAGCTGTTTCATTTTTCTTTTTTTTTTTTACTCCTCACCCAAGGATATTTTTTACATTTCTTTTCAGAGAGAGTAGAAGGGGGGGAGAGAAAAACATCAATGTAAGAGAGACACATTGATTGGTTGCCTCCTGAATACACCCCAACCAGGCCCAGAATGCAACCGAGGTATACGCCCTTGGCCAGAATCAAATCCAGGACCCTTCAGTTGGTGGGCCAACATTCTAACCAAATGAGCCAAACCTGCAAGGGCTCATTTTTCTTTATGCTCAGGTTTCTCTCTTCCCTCTCTGTCATTTCTAGATTCCTATTTTCAGTATCACTAATTCTTTCCTCCTTTTGATTGGCTTTATTGTCTATGCTCAGTAGCTCATTCCTAATCTTCTTAGTTACATGCTTCATTTCAAGGATTTCTGATTGGTTCTTTTTTAAAGTTTCAATCTCTTTGCTAAAGTACTCATTTTGTTCATTGATTTGTTTTCTGAGTGCACTGAATTTCCTGTCTGTATTTTCTCAAATCTCGAGTATTTTCAGAACTGCAATCTTGAAATCTGTCATTTATATCACATATTTCCTTGTGTTCTAGCTTGCTTTCTGGGGATTTTTTCATTTTCTTTCTGATCATCCTCATTATCATGGTTATTCATGGTATTTCCTGCTCTCCTTTGTCTAGGCACAAATACCCCTTCTATAGCAGCATTCTCTGAAGAGGTCTTTCTACTATTTTCCAATAGGTGGCACTGAATTACAAGATTTTTTTTTACCTCTGTGATCTCCCAGACTTGACCTCCATGGGCTTCTGTAAGGCAGTTCAGCTGTGCTGCTTGGGGGTAGGGCTTGTTTTGCCCTCACCATGATGGTCACCCCAAACCCTCCGTGGGGTCAAGCCCCAGCACCAAACCCAGGGATCAGCCACAGAGGGAAACAGTGGTTCTACTGCAGTAGCTCTTGGTTACAGGTAAAGTATTCCTCTACCCAGCACCAAGGCAACAGTAGGCAAGTTTTGGGAGTCCAAAGGGCAGAAGGGCTCTATGGTTCCATTTCTTTGTCAGAAATACCCCACCCCGACAGTGGACAGCCACGTTACAGAACCTGTGCTCTGTAAGGCGTCTGCTAGCTCAGTTACTGTTCACTTGCGCTGTTGGACTGCCCCCTAAAGCTCTCTGTTCCTCCCCACCAACTGCTACCACTGGCTTCCTACTCTCTCCTGGCTGCACCACAAGCTCCTGGCTACACGGCTACATCTGAGGGCGGTCTGAGCTTTCCTCTCTTCTTATCTCCCTGCTTATTCCTGGTTGCCCAGCTTCAGGTGTTTCAATGTACGGGTCTCAAATGTGCCTCTGTATTAAGTAGGGAATTGTTGGTTGAATTATAGTTGGTTAATTTGTTGAAATTTCAGGGGGAGAGGCCAAGGTTATTTCTCACACCACCATTGGTCTGACGTCTGCGAGGTGAGGATTAACAAAACAAAAAAAGGAGACACTGAAGAACATCACCCAACAGATTTTTTTGTTGTTGTTATCCTTATCCGAGGACACTTCCATTGCTTGTTAGAGAGAGTGGAAAGGGGGAAGAGAGAGAGGGAAACATCGATGTGAGAGAGACATCGATTTGTTGCCTCCTGCGCATACCTCGAGTAGGGTGACCCTGCAACCGAGGTACGTGTCCGTGGCCTAAATCGGAACCAGGACCCTTCAGTCCATGGGCCAACACTCTAACCACTGAGTCAAACCAGCTAGGGCCAGAGGTATCATTTTGAACAGTATGGGATAATTGAAGTGATTGAAATCATGACTGACCAAGGCAGTGTCAGGAAGAGAGGCTTTGCTTTTGTAACCTTTGATGACCATGACTCTGTAGACAAGATTGTCGTTCAGAAATATCATACTGTGAATGGCCACAACTGTGAAGTAAGGGAAGCCCTGTCTAAGCAAGAAATGGTTAGTGCTTCATCCAGCCAAAGAGGTCGAAGTGGTTCTGTAAACTTCGGAGATGATCATGGTGGTTTTGGTGGGAATGACAACTTTGGTCATGGAGAAAACTTCACTAATTGAGGTGGCTTTGGTGGCAGCCGTGGTCATGGTGAATATGGTGGCAGTGGAGATGGCTATAATGAATTTAGTAATGATGGAAGAAATTTTTGAGGTGGCAGAAGCTACAATGATTTTGGCAGTTACAACAATCAGTCTTCAAATTTTAGACCCATGAAATGAGGAAACTTTGGAGGCAGAAGCTCTGCTCCCTGTGGTGGTGGAAGCCAATACTTTGCCAAACCAAGGTAGCTATAGCAGTTCCAGCAGCAGTAGTAGCAACCATGACCCCACATGGTTGAAGTATGGCAGTGGCAAGAGGTTTTAATTACTGCCAGGAAACAAAGCTTAGCAGGAGAGGAGAGCCAGAAAAGTGACAGAGAAGCTACAGGTCACAAGAGATTCGTGAACTCAGCCAAAGACAGTGATGGCAGGACCTAGCTGCTACAAGAAGACATGTTTTAGACAATATTCATGTGGATAAACAAAAAACTCAAGGATTATATTTGTAACTAATTGTATAACAGGTTATTTTAGTTTCTGTTGTGTGGAAATTGTAAAGCATTCCAACAAAGGGTTTTTATGTAGAAATCTTTTTCACCTGTGCTGCTGATTGCTAAATTTAATAGTCTGATTATGATGATGAATAAATGTGTCTTTAAAAGAAAAAAAAAAACCAGATTGATCCCTATTAAAAAAGGTGGATACATTAGGTTCCCAGACCCTGTTCTATCAGACCCTCTAATCATATGGTTAATCCCCTTGTTCTGATTTTCTGCTCACCAAAGCAATCTTCTGATACTCTAGTTCCATAGAAGGAATATTCTGGTCAGGGCTACCTTTCCTGACCATGCTGTGACCTTGACATGGGCCTTCCCATATGTATTCATTAGGACTCTTGGACACAGCAATAGAAAGCCATTTTGAAATAGATTATACAAAAAAATTTATTGGAAGGATATAAAGGTGTGTAACATATTTAAACCCTGGGAGGGTCAGAACAGCAGCTGGGACTTAGAAAAACTTCAGCCAAGGACTTGAAAACCACCAGAACACTCACCATCTTTTTTTCTGCTTCTGTATGTGCATCAGTTTCATTCTCTTTTACTCACATGCACCAGAGAAGTATAAACTCTGCTCTCTCTGAAATTCAATAACTCCTGGGAAAGATTCTGATTGGCTGGCATCTGGATCAGGTTCCATTCCAGTCCAATCTACTGTGGCCAGAAGGGTGGGGTCATGGCAGTTTCCATGATCCGACATGGTTGGAGTATTGCAAAGAAGGAGCCTTTTCTAAAAGAGGAAGGTCACTACTCCCAGAAGAATGTGCAGGTGCTGGGCATACACACAGCAGAGTCATCCTCCCTACATAGAAATAACTGTAGGCTAAGACCAGTTTAGGGATCTTTGAGATCACACAGGGCAAGCTATTACTCAACAACAGAAGATCAGGGTGAAAGTGACAAGTTTCAGAAGAACTTTCAAGAAGCTGGCTGCCTGGCCCAAAAAAGGATACCGCTGAGCAAGCCGCTCCAAGAATTCTATGTATGAAACTATTTTTCACCAATACATTTGAGAGCATGCAATAAATTAACCAGTACGTAAAATACTTTGATCTGATTTATATATTTATTTTTCCTCCTTTTCCTAGGGCATGTTTTAGACTTATTTGGGGCCAGAAGGTGAGATAGTGGGGGAATTTGGGCAAGCAGAGAATGTAACTGAGTCTAAGCTCATACTGCTTGCCCCACAACAGCCAATAAATCAAGTGACAAGGTTTTAGGACAAGGAAAGCAACTGTATTTGAAAAGCCTGCAAGCCTAGAAGATGGTGGACTAGCATTGTAAAGAAGCACCTTAAGAAAGTACAGAACTCAGGATTGGTATAAGAATCAAGGGAAGAGAGAAATGGGAGGGACAAGAGGTGACTATTGCAGATATCTGGGTGCCATCAGGTGTCCAAGGAAGCTTTGTTTTTAGTCTGTTGACTCTAGTTGATGTGAGTCTGATCAAGAGGTTAAACAATACATACTTTCCTTATCTCCTCAGGAGGGGCAATTTCAGCTAAGGGGCTGTTGTAAAACTGAAGCTGCAAGAATTCCTCCAGTGCTGCATGCAAGACAAGTAGAAGCTATTACCCTAAAGACCATGGGAACAAAGCAGGTTTGAACAAATTGGAGTCAAAGATGCTGAACATTTCACTCTGTTGCAAGAGAAGCCAGCTAGGTCCACCACTGCCAGCCTTTTGAGGCCTATGTCTTTGTTTTCTAAGCTCTTAGGTGTTCCATAACCCTGCCATTCCTCAACTGTGCCCACACGGGGATAAGCAGGGAGAAAGACCTACTCTAAATACTAGTCCCTGAATCCTTCTAATGATGGGAAACCATTCTCCAGGTTCCAATCTCTCTATTAGTAACTTTCCAAAGAAGAGCAGAACCAATATCTACAAGTGCACATGCTGAACAGCTGAGCCCAATTCCAGGCAACTGGGGAGAGAAGTTTCCATGCCTACAAGGAGGCATACCCGACCTTTGTTCAACTCCACATTTTCTTCTCTCTCCTCTAAATTGTAGCGGTTAAATGGATTTTAAAAGAAATTTCCCAATAATTTCAGTGAAAGTACAGGCAAACTGCAAAATCAGAATTTGATGCAAATTATGAAAATTAGGAAACAAGTAGGTGACACCAGACAGATGATGCGTTAAGTTTTATTTGATGGAAATTGCATGTTTGCAAAAGCTGGTATGCAAATTGACACCAATACCACCCCTATGCCGTAGAGTAAATGAGACAAAAAGATAAGATGCAGAGAGAAAAAAGAATCCTGCAAATCATTGGTGGTAGCACAGCAGTTCATTTAACTAAAATAAAAGAACTAAATGCTGCAACAATACTCCACAAGATGGCGCACTTGCTTTTCTAAAAAGTTTTCATCACCACTCCTGATCTTTAACAGGAAAAAAACCCGCAAATATACAGAAAATTGCAGAACATTTTAAAAATGACTTCCTTGTTGAGGTGGAAGACTTTGGCCTGACATCCTGAGCTACTCAGCACCTCTTAGGAAAGTGAACACAGAGCGCTAGCACATTTACCATTAACGTGCAATTTGCGTTTGGCTACATCTAGTAGAAAGGAAATACATCTTTGGACTCTCCAGGCAGCACACTGTAATTGGGGTAGTTTATTACTTCAGCAGCATCAGTGTCAAACTTTATCAAAACCTGTCTTATTCTGTGCACTCTGCTAGGGGCTTGGCTTGCTGCTCTGACAGACTTCCTTCCAAGAGGATAAAACAGGAGCAAATATTTTGCTATAACATGTATTACACCTGATTTTACATAATATTTAGACATTCAATGTTGGGAGAAAAAAAAATTAATAACTCCTTTATGGTTTTCAGAATGTTAGACAAGCTCTCTCCCCAACTACAAATTTATGCAATACAAAGAGAATTAAAGGAATGTCCATTGCAGCATCATTTAATAAAAATCTGGAACTAATTTGAATGTCCCAGGAAATGGATAACTATGTACACTGTGATCTGGCTGTACAGTGGGATGCTGGGCAGCTGGTAAAACGATGAATAAGTCAAACCAGTTCCCCGGTGTTGCTGGCTGCTAAGCTCCTGTCTGTCAGCTCCCCTCCCTTCCTACAGATCTACCTTGGGACAGCAGGACAGGACCCTGCCCATTTGCCCTTTGCTGTTAGGCTCTGCAAGCGTGCAGGAACAGAGGCATGCTGTCCTGTCAGTGTCCCCAATCCCTAATCAGAGCCTTACCCCAGCAGCAGTTGGTACCAGTCTACACTTTTGTTGTTGTTAATGTTTTGGCACTGCCAAAACCAACTCATTGTGTCCTGCAAAACCAGCACCAACTGGCAGGCGCCCCTCCCTGAGCAGGACAGGGCCTTTCCTCTGAGCTTCCAGATTCTGATACCCCCAACCTCTCTTTTGTGCCACTGGCATTAGGATGGTACCTCTTCCAACAAGTACTTTATCTGCATTACCTCAGTGTCCCCTTTGATTTTTTAGTTCTCTAACACCTATCTAATCAATTCCTTATATTAAGCTTTCTCTGCTGAAATACTTGATGTAGATCCTGACTAATACAATGACCATATGCCAGGAACTATAGATACACAATATAGATGGGTGGATAGACAGACATATATGCACATTAGAATATATGTATACATACACGTATATATCAGTACATGTATACATACAAGTACATATATACACATATATATACAAACCTTGCATATAAAATTCAGCTAATTCTCACAACAAATGCTGTGTTATACAGAAGAAGACACAGTGTCTGGGAACTTAGATAATACATTCCACAATATTACATAGCTGATAAATAATGAAGCTGAGATTTGAGTTCAGATATCACTAGACCACACAATGTATCTTTTTTCAGCTATGCCCAAAGTCAACTTATCCCTAATAGTGTTCTACATCATAGTTCAATCCCTAGGCTAGCCTGCAAATGTTTTTTACTTCATAATATAAGTAAACTGTAACACTATTCTAACTCTACTAGAAAATATAATCACTAAATACAATACTGCTTCTGTGATTGAGAAGACTGTAGGGAAAGTGTTACTGGTGGAAGTGGGGTGTCCCTTTCCCCACTGGGTGCTGGGGGTCATAGGGTCCTTAGGATATCTTGAGAAAAAGAATTTTCTAAGACTATCACAAGAGGATGAGTGATGTTTATGTGCATAGAATTACCTCCCTGCATTTCTAAAGTCCCATTTCCCTTAAACCAGTCCTGAAAGAGGTGCAGCTGGGGATTCAGCAGATCTAAAAGCAAAGCCAGAGTCCAATCTTCCATTCCATAATAGAGTTGGGTCTGATGTAGCATTAGACTAGTTAGTTGTAGTCCATTAGTCCATTGCCCCTGCAACAAGAGAGCCAGGAGACTAGCACACAAGAGAGGCAAGAGAGCAAGAGAAAGAACTTTGTTTAGGAGCTTAAGTATCTCAAATTTCATGCCCTTGCAGTGGCCACGCCTGTCCTGGCCAATGACCTGGTCCCAGGTGTGAATGACAGGCAAGTACCTTCCCTAGGCCACCCAGACTTTACTGGGCATGCCTCCGTTATCCCCCTATCCAGTCCCTTTGCTCCTTTCCAGTTATTCATAACTGGGCTCATTACAACGGTATCAAAAGCATGGACATTCCCAACTCCAGGTTACTTGTTCATCTATGAGTATGATTTAGTGCCTTTTATGTGCCTGCCAATGTGCTGAGCTCATAACGGTCAGCAAAGCAGACCTAGTCTCTCCTTCAAAAGTTTACAGTCTAGGGGAAGTGACTATCTATCTTTAATTAAATAATCATGAGAGGTGCCTGAGTGCTTTAGGCAGGGATTTTAGACAGGCTGCATGACTGTGGGGCAGTTCCAAACAGTGGCCACCCCCCACTCCCAACCCCACCCCCACTCACATGTGCACAAATACACACACACACACACACACACGCACACACACAAGCTTAACATTTGCCCTTCTCCTGTCTGGAATGGTATGTCCACTCCACCTTTGTTGAACAGGAGCTTATTAGTTCTCAATCCAAAGTGATCAGAGGGAGACATCACAGCAATAGAGCAGTCGTGCAGCATTTCCTAAAAACCTGCTCTCCTCAGGCCAGGAGTCAGTCAATGTTTCCATGGCAGCAGTCAAGCCCAGACTTTCCCTGTAGCCCAAATGCAATCAGTAATGCATGCTTGGACTGATCAGTGGACAAGTGGCCAGGAAGCTTTCTGCGGGGAAGGCTTTCAGATGTGCAAACACATATCTAACCAAACCAGAAACTCTTGCTATAATCAGGGTCAGGAATCTCTGTCACCATACCATGACAGCTAAATATCTGAACTCCCTTTTTGACTGCATTTTTGTTAGTGAATAAATAGTTCATTAGTCAACTATGCAGCAAAGGAAAAGAGAGAGACCTTGCAGCAGCCAAGGCCATTGATGGGCATTAAAATTAATGGAAGAAACTTTACAGAGACAGGATATTTGCAAGGCTTCAGAGTACCTACCTCCAGATACTTACTCATAACTGTAATGGTTTGAAAAGATGTCCACAATTCCTTGACAATCCTCCCTCCAATTTAACTCTTCTCCCTTTGTGTGTGGCTGGATTTGACGACTGTTTTCTTTTTTTTTAAATCCTCGCCTGAGGATATTTTTTCTATTGCTTTTTTTTTTTGAGAGAGAGAGTGAAGGGGGGGAAGAGAAGCATCAGTGTGAGAGAGAGAGACATCGATTGGTTGCCTCCCGCATGAGCCCTGAATGGGCAGAGATGGAACCTGCAACCCAGGTATGTACCAGTAAATACCAGTCTGCAGTTCATTTAAAAGTATTGTACCAATATTAATTTCTTAGTTTTGATAAATATACCACAGTTATATAAGATGTTGCCATTAGGGGAAGCTGGGTGCAAACTATATAGGAAATCTCTGTACTATCTTAATAACTGTTCTGCAAATTTAAAATTATTTCAAATAAAAAGATTTAAAAAGAAAAGGAGGAAAAAGCCACTATAAACTGGAACCCATCTCTATTTGTGCATATAGCATTTGTGCTGTTTAAGCAATAGGGAATGTTACTTTTACAATTCAGCAAAGTCCCTGTGGAGGAGAGGTTAGACCTATAAGATTTGGACCCAATTCCTTAGCAGCCAAAATACACAGGATTCAGGGAAGACTCCTGGAGGAGGGGTGGGAAGTACCAGGGTGAGGGCACACTGTGGGCAAAGCAGCATTGCCAGAATCTGAGGAAGCCTGTGCTGAGGTTTAAGAAGGGAA